TGATTCTTTGAATCAAAGAAGCTTCGTAGGATCTTAGCGGAACAATTGTGGAAAATTTCCCCAAAAAATTTTAACAGCCGTTAATTAAGCAAATTTTGTTTTGTCTAATTAAGATTGAATTAGACCAAATATGGAGCGCATTACTTAGTTAAGGACTCCTGAACAAATACAATTTACTAAGCGAATTGTTCGATTTAAAGCTCTTACAAGATTTCTTATTACAAAAAGCTATCTCGCAATGGCTTTTTTTTATAAAATTTTATTAATCTCGTTGGCCGTTTGTCAAATCCATACGTGAATCGACCTCTTAATTGAATATCAACCAACTTTTATTGAATATCACCAACTTTTGACGCCGGTGCTCGCAGTATGGAAGTCGGTGTTAATGAAGACCAAAAGAAAAATATTTCGAGAACTGACTAAGCAATAGGAACCGAATCCACGCCTACAAATACCAGAGCTGTTCCCGATGACGCCTTAAAAAACGACCGCGCCGGCGGCGCCGACGATGTTGAATTGATGTCAAAAAGTTGTCAGCTTGCGTTAAATCTTAGGAATTTTCGTTTTTCGAAAATTTGGGGGATCAAAGATTGTCGTGAATTTATTCCGGATTGACGTGAGGGAAATGCGTTGTAAAGTAATTTTCTGCATAATATTTTAATACCCAGTTCCAGCCCTGCCTCCCCGCCCAAGGCCGTGATGCCGACAATCACTTGGATTTATTGTCTTGCATTTTCCATTCGTGATAAAGCATACTAAAGTTAAAAAACAGAATTTCTTAAATAAGCATACCCCTAACAAGGATTCTGTTTCACTGTAGAGGTACCTTGAAATAAGTTTCTATCTTTCCACATCGCTCGTTTGAGCGCCAAGATAAATTTTGCGCCACTAGGTAGCAGGAATTCTAAAAATTTCGCAATAGATGCATAACAACGTGAAAAATGTCCAATAAAGGAGGTAACTCTGCTCACATTGTAAGCTTATTGAAGCAATAACTGAGACCATAACAAGATAGCTGGCCTCGTAGAAATTCTGCATTTACTAAAAATGACCCAACCACGGGGTTTAGAAGACCTCTTTGTAATCTAACCTCGCCCGATGACCTGTTGTCCAAGATATTCAATCGATGTCGTGGTACAATTTCTAAATATCACCCCTCTTTTTGCCTTTTAATTAACAACGAACATGGCTCAAGGTGGACTGATATAGTTTTGTTCAAGGAAAAGAAGCCATTTAAATTTGGGGCAAAAATTCACGCGTACTTTTCTCGGCGTGACTTGTCGTGAGCACGATAACAGTACTTTTGTAATTACATTGCAAATTGAAGTGACTTGAAAACAACTCCGCGTGGTTCCCTTTGTATGAACAAAACGTTAATTATACGTTTCCGGCGTTGAAGACTCGGGGGTGTTAATCCGAATTTCCCTTTGGGAACTGATACAAAACAAAAAGAACTATCAGCAGATCGTCCTGAAATAATAAAACTAAATCGTAATTTTTTTTTCACATGATTACATATAATCAATAGTTAGATTTCATAGTTGATTTCTTCAACCAACTTATAGTTATTCTTGTGGAATTAAACACCTCCTAGATTATTTTTACAGGCTAATAATGGTTGATTTCCAATAGGACTTTCACACGCCATTCCATGCACGCAATGTCTTAACCACAAACCGTTATTTTTTGTCTTGTGTTTTTTAGTCGCATGAGATAATAAACGATGCACTCGAAACTACCAACGTTGCATATTTTTCACGACATGCCTGAGCAAGTCTTGCGAGGCTGACAGATAATATTGATTCGCCTACGCTGTTTAGAATCAATAATTTAGATTCATTAACCTTGGCATTAAGCGCAATACGTAGAGCTTTTCGAGGGCTCGAAATTACGAAATAAAACCGCTTTGTTCAATATAACTAAATTATTCATTCGATAAAATTCAGACACGGGCAACTCTCTATGACTCACCAGGGTGCTATTCGCTGCATAGTTGGTACAAAGTTGCCCTATGTATACGAATCTTCCAGAGAGCTCATAGTTAAAATTAAACGTTCTGAAACATTCATTAAATGCATGCATGGGTAAACCTTTGGACCGACTATCGAATAACATTTACTTTCGATTTAGTGGGAAAACTCCCTTCAATTACCACAGTTTCGCTTCGTTAGCATTTTCCAAATAAACAAAAAAATTTTCTGAAACTCATGATAACAACATGACCAATTTTTATAAAACCGCAGGTTTCCATGGTTGAAATTCTTGATTGAGGCATATCCGAGATCGAAAAAATTGAAATAGTGCCGTCAAATTGCAGTCAAACGAGGCCGCCCTTGAAATATACTTTGAAAGTGAAAACCGAAAACAAACGTAACAGCTAAACAAAGACATCTTCAATTGGTCCCATTGTGTCTAGCTTCGACAACATTCAACGGAAATCTAAACCTAGCAGATTAACATATACTTCTTAAGATGCCTTAATATTTCCTGAGATCAGAGCAACTCGGTTTATCATGGGGTTCTGTGTGGCATTGTATGATAAAGAGAGGACGGCTTTGTTAAATTTAATTTTACAAATAATTTAAGTATGGGATCAAACTGTTTAACAATCAAATGCATTTTATGGAACAGTTCGTGCGATGCGTATTTGCAATTAAAACTTCCTCCAGGAATATTACGACGAACGATTGTCCCTATCGAGTAATCCACTACTCCGTTTCCAAAATTTCGTTCCTTTTCTGTCATTCTTACTCTTAGAAATAAAATTCTTTTCATAGGGGTAGCTGTTCTACTATTATTTCAAAGAAAGTCTGAAAATTGCTGTGTTCGTTGAACACCGTTCAAAATTATTGACTTCGAAAAATTCCATCCACTAACGTTATATTGCGTGACATAAACGAACCGCGGCTGGGACCTTTCCCACGGCAAACTCGTAAAGCTATCTGCTACTCAAACACCACACTTTTCTTTCATTTGGGTTCAGTTTCGCCTCACTTTATAGTGTATTTGAGATAACGAAAAGTTAAGAAAGCACAACGTGGGACTAAAGCTTGAGACATGACCGCATCAAATCATGCTCAATATTGTGTCTATTTACATTGTTAACGTAAGAGAATAAAGCTTTTGATCCAGCTTACAAATTGAGTTATTTGTTGTTTATTACTGTAAGCGGTTAAAGCTCTTCTTAGCTGGACTCGACTCTGAAAGTACAGTTACTTATAACGGTATTACTTTCGATTTTCTGAACTTTGGTCAGTTTTATAAGTTTGTTTATGTCCTTCTCATTATATGACATTGTACACTCTTTGGAAAGGAATTCATGCAAAATTATTTCAGTTGTAGCGCGTGTGAATGTTGTGTTTTAGGGAGAAACACAAGAAAGCGGAAATTTCAAATTAAAAAAAAAAGACAAAGAAAATTGGAGGCAAAGGTGATTTCATGTTTCTTCAGGAAACGAAATCTAACCCTACCGAGTCGCCTTAGGACGTCGACCGCAAGAGATACTCGACAATCTTTATTTACAAAAACTACGAGATAACAGGCCAAGGTGAAAACTGCGTAATGAGGTTTTCCAACCACGTTTTGCACCAAAGATTCTCATTTGATATCTTAAAATTTTTTTCTGTTTTATTTAAGCTGATAATGAGTTTTTTTTCCTGCTGTCTCAGCGTTTTCTTAAACCTAGAGACAGGCCCAGACAGGACGACCTATGGATCGTTAAAAATAGCTGATAATAGATGTCCTGCTGGGGGTGCCAAACCTTGGTCAATCGAAGAAATGTCCCGTCTCATCGACAAAGAAAAATTCTAGAACGATTTTAAAGCACGTTCAGAATTTTTGTTTAGAGCTACACCGCGCACTCAGCGCCTCAAGCACGTACCCCTGTCTTATCAAACCTAATAACATCACGCAAGGTCAATTCTTTTGTTTTAAGTACTGACAATCATCATTTTGAGGATTGTCATTTTACAAGAACAAGTGATGACAGCCTAAAGCAGTCCTTGAAAACGGCAAGGTCGGTTGCGCACGCTGATAACAATTCATCGGTCGTCATAACAACACGTGCACATTCTGACACCTTTAACTTCGCTCCCTTGCGCACGAGAGGTTTCCTTCTTTCGAAACAAAAAAGATATGAAATTCTTGCCAGATGACGCTTGAATCTAAATACTTCCTGTGATAATAATTTTTGTTAGTTCCTGATTACATCGTGACATGAAAGCTGGGTATTACCTTATACATTTCCGCACAAAAGAAGACAAAAACATAATAGACCGCACAGTGTGGAAGGTACAATCTTTCAAGAAATGGCAGATGAAAGAATATGTCTAAACACTCGTCTGGTGAACACTGGATGAAATATTTAACCGTAAAAGATTTTTGTCAAGATTGATGAACTCAAACAAATATTGATAAAAAATAGCGTCTGATCGTCTAATAATCCTGTCAGGAAATTTGTTTCTAACGGTCTCCAGCATTCGTCCTAAAAAGCGCGCTTGACACGAATTTTCTCTGTTTTAACGATCTCATGGGATTTGAAGATATCAAATCAACGGATTTTGGCTGGAAAAGCTAACATTTCGCTCAGAGCGATGAGTGACAATATCTATTATGTTTTTTGGAAATGCCGTGTCGTTCGATTTGCGTAATAGTACAGTGTGGGCGAAAATTGCGGACGATGATTTTTACGTGTTCAAGCAGGCCCACCGGACAAACGTAAACTCAATTTCTCCCTCCCCGCCCTAATCAAGCTTAGTCAATGTGCCGTGAGCCGTAACTCAAACAACCTTCCACCGCCTTAACTTATTTACCGAATATATCCTTGCCCCTCTAGAATAATGAAATACAGGGTATCTTCCATGTGTTTATTTTGTAGAAATTCTTGCACCTGATAAGACGATCAACAAAATATTTCCTTACTTCTGCACACCCATGTGAAAGCTGTCATTATTTTTGTGTTAGCTTTCGAGTTGTCATAAAAGTTTGTCCCACGTGGAACACTGAATCCTGCGCCATGTGAATTTACACGTTATGTTTTTTCTCCTCTGATTGGTTCGCTTCCAGCCCTTTGGTCCCTCGTGATTTTTTCATTGTCATTCGACCAATAAGATTTCAGAATTGGCGTGTGATTTCCATGACGTTTGGGCGCGTGACACATATCTTGTTTTCATTTTGATAATATTTACCATCCGTGTACAGCACATGCAGAGAAAAATTTCTCTCGTGAATTTCGCTCTTGGCTCGCTAAGGAATTCGCTCCGACAATAGCAATGAATATCGAACAGCTTCTAGAAGCTGCTAAAATCATCGAACAAAGAGATGAAGGTAGGTTTTTCTTGTTTCTCAGAGAAAATTCGTGGCACATGTTGTTCTCACGCCCCGCTAATGTCCTCTTTCCACCCTAAACTACAGCGAAGAAGCAGAGCCAGGCGTCTGTCAAACGCGATAGAAAGCCAACGAAACGTTCACCGAGCTACAGGTAAGCATTTCAAAGAGTTTTCGTCGTAGATTTTAGAGCAGAAGTTTCATTTCGACGCCTTTTGCCACGTTGCATGCGATGTGTTGAAACTGTTGTGCTTGAGATTATGGCGCCCAATGTTTTGTTCAGTGTACCTTATGTACACAGCAGATGCGAAGTACTTTAACGACCTTTGCTATCTTTTGAGACATCGAGAGTTTTGTTGATCGCGTTTGGGGCTATGATCAAGAACTTGAAACTAACAAGTGTTGTAAATTTGCTCTCAAAAACGTGCCTGAAATGTATCGCTGAAATAAACATCTTCGTCTGCGCTCGACTCAGCGAAAGCGGACATTTGCAATCTCATGCTCCGGGTATTCCCCGAGACCTGTACGGCGTGGGTTCATCTTCACCTCAGTTTCGGTATATCGCATGTTTGTCAGCGATGTGCCATACCAGTAATCTCTGGGCAATGTCCATAAAGTGTGGGTTTGCATTTTCGTGAGGAGTACCGCTCACGGCTTTGCTTTATGTCCCTTCAACCTCAGCAACCTTCATGTATGTTTTATAAACACCGCAGTTGTCCATCGCAGAACTTTATTCTGTCGTTCTGTCAAGGTATTTTCTCCTATATTCTGGTATTATTACGGCTAGCCTTGTACTATATTAGGCTTTTTACCCATGTCACATTGCTAATGAGGAGCTTTTGTCTCTTTTTTCCACCTTTTCGCTTTCTATGCAACCTACTGTCAATGCTACCAGCCGTACGACACATAACCAGTTAGAGAAAAACCGGTAAGTACACAAGACCCACTACTTAACCTAGAATACGCTTTTACCAGCAAGTATGTTAATTCGGAAGGCAAAGGATTTTGAAGAGGAATTAATGTATTTTTCTGTTCAGAAAAGTTCGGCAGGAGGTTTCCGTTCAACAAATGTTCCTATCCTTTGCCACGTGGCTCACCAAAACAACAGAATACACGTGCGAATTGCATACCAACTTGAATACGTATGCACGCGTGAAACGGTTTGCTTTTTCTTTTAAAAGGAAAATTTGATCCTGCAGTGGTCTCGGTGAAAAATACGAATAAGTTTGGTTCTCGATCGAGCCCTATCCGGGCACAGTAAGTAGTGTTTTGGTCAACGGGGGCAGATGTCCTCGCTGGTTTTGAGCGCGAAAAAAAATTTGCTACTGGCTCCTCGTGAATGTTTATGCTAGACTGCAATTATTTTGCCTGGTACCCGTCTGAAAAAATTTTCCGCCCCTTGCGTCAGTAAATTGTGACAATTAGTAAACTAAATCAGTCGATGCCTTTGGGTTCTTAGCGAAAGGGTTGCGTGTGATTTGCGTTCCTCATTACGAGTGGTTTACCAAGGCCTTTTGAAACTACCGCAAACGAGTTATTCTTTTCTTTCCTCTTTTTTGTACCGGTGAAATTAAAAAAAATCACGCCACACTTGACCTGTCGCAAAACTCGCCGCTGTGTGTCTAGAAGCTAGTTTTCGTGGGCGTTCATGTTTAGAAACACCAGGAAACCATTGTTTACGCTCCCAATCGCAAGTTTCATTAGCTCGAAGATAGAACTTTGTGGTAACGCATTTTATCTCAACGTTGTTTTTTTTTTTTGTTACAGACGGGCCCATCTTAGGGACTGCCTTGAGCTACTGAAAGAATTAGTTCCTTCGCCACCTGAACATCAAAAAGCTACAACGCTGGCGTTACTGCAGAGTGCTCAGCAGTATATACAGGTAAACAGAACACTTTCGCCTCTTCCTTTTCACATCACAACCGTGTCATTATGACCAAGGAATTCGGTTCGCAAGTATGCCCAGTATAAGATAAAAACTTGAAATTCGCAACAATCGCTTCTTATTAAGCTCCAAACAAACCCTTTTGGATAAGCTATGGCTTTGCCAAATGCAAATCTGTGATGTTTGTAAGCTCCTGAATCAAAAAGTGTTGTAGCAGATGTTTTCTATTGAATAGGGGAAAACCCGAAAATATCCTTTCCAAAATTAATCTGCAACTCTCTGCTTTTCGTAGGTTCGTTACAATTATATTCTTAGCCACTTTTTTCTTATTTTAAAACGCCATAGAAGTTGGCATAACTGAGATCTCCCTGATTTTTTGGTTTTTATTTTTTTTCGAATGGAATATTTTATGTTGGCACTGTTCAAATATTCCTCGCATGCAAATTATTTGACAGAAGATTTCCCTGTAGTCATAGTTTTAAATTTTCTTGGGAAATGCAAAATCCTGGGAAGTGGAGAATATAAAATCTGTGTTAGTTTTATGATTACCTAGCCAGAAATCAGGAATAGATTCAAGGGAGAATAATCTTGAAACATCTGTTGTGGAGATCATTTTCAGTCAGTAAACTGGCTTTACAATGAGTGGCAATTATTAATAGAACATGTTGTGTTCTTCTTTGATTATAAAGAGGCCTTTGAGTACGTGAGGAAAGAAAAATCTACAGTGTGTGTCATTTCAGAATGTGTATACCTTTTCATGCCCAGAATTCTGCTCTGAAGCCATTTTTAGCCACAAATATGACTTGTGAACCATAAAGTTAATTGTGTCCTGTTAACCAATGCAGAGTCTACCTAAGGGATAATTTTATTTAAGATGTACATCTTTACTTCCATCTCTTATATTCTCAGAGAATAATGTGCATTCGTCTTGCAATCACAGCATTGTTGCTTTTCTGAAATATTTTGATGTGATATTTTGTCTAGCTGCTCTGGTTAAACTATGCTGGAAATTTCTGTGCGCATGTGTTCAGGGTGTGCCCACCTGAGGGTCAAAAGCCCTGCAGGCAGCTCTTTCAGGCTCACAGTGTTGATGTATAGTTTAGGGCTGCTAATTTGTGAAAAATTCCAGGTGTAAAGCTGTAGGAATTGTAATTAATCTTAGTTTTGAAATTTTGATGGGGCCAGGTGACAAACAAACAGAAAAGAAAAGAGAAAAAACTAAAAAAATGTCTTAAAACCTGAGAACCTTCTCAAACTAAGCAAAGGAGAAAAGGCAAGTTGTCTTCTTATTTTGTTGTGCAATATTCAAGGTTGTTGACTTCATAATAGGAATCTTTTTCAACATAACCTTTCGTGTGGAAGTGTGTTTTGGGTCTGGTAGAAGGTGGCCTAACGTACTTTGCATATCATAGCACAACAAAGAATACATTAACATGTCTTTTAAAAATTAAAAACATTTCATTTCTGTAAGTGTTGTTGTGTGCTGAATTCTTTAGTCAGCATTGCTTTTCTTCCTGACAACGAAATCTTTCCATTCAGTTCATTGCCTTGCTATATTGACAAATTGTTTGTGGACAACTTGAGAGCCAGAGGGAGGGTATTTTTCCAACCAAGTTTCTATTTTCTGCCACCTTAGCATCTTAGTTGTAGGGGAGGCATTGTAATCTGCATTTAGAAAATATATTAGTGAGAATAGATGGTCATTTGTCGAGTGAGAAAATTCAAGTTGTTTTCAAGGCTTGTAGTTGGCAAAGAAGTGACTTTTCAGCTTTTGTCCATTCTCTAGAGTTGAACAATCTGCCAAGGGCTTGTTTAGTGTTACAACAATAAACCTGGTATTGGGTTAAAAGGGACATTTTGAATTTGCATGCAAAAAGGAAACCCTGGAGGCCATTATCTTTGGAATATTATTTATATTGATGCTGATATTGGATTAGGAGCACCACTCACATGATCCACATGTTTCTGTACTTTCCTATTTCTTGAACATATCTGCAGCTTGATTTTATCTCTGACAGGGTGTAAGTTTGTGGCAGAAAATGCCCAGTTGGCTTTTTTTATCAAGTCTGAGCATCTTCAAGCACTTTGCCCGATAAGCAGCTGTTTACATGATTTCTCTTCAACAAGATTTGACATTAGAAAATCATGAGATATTTGAATGTAATATGACACTCATTCCCTGTTTTGCATTAAGTACTCCAACCTCTGCCCTGTGTAAACTTTGAACTTCAACAATATTGTTCAGCTATCAATGTGCTTTTCCCTTCAACAAGAAATGGCATCAGAAAATCATGTGAAATTTGAATGTCATATGACTAGTACTTTCCATTTTGCTTTTCAATATTCCTAGCTCACCTCATGTGAAGTTTGAGCCTTTAAGAGCTACTAAACATGTTTGCATCATGAAATATTGTTTTCAACTTGAAAGGAAATTTAAGAATTCATGGAGGAAATTTCTGCCCAACTAAAATGCCTCTATATCTTTCATCATTTAACTCAGATCAAATTTGTACTTCTCCTAGATGTCAACCATACAATTCTTATGTTTGTTCAGAGAAGTTAGTATTGGAT